ATACCCTAAGGGCACATCTGACCCCCAACGCAACGTAATTATCCCCCCGGCTGGCAACTCTTCGATTTTTAGCCTGCCCTAAATAATTGTGTTTCAAGAAAATGTAATGTTCTGAAAATATTGTATCGGCTAATTCAATCAATAGATTTTTGCTAGGTTATTACAGAATTAAAATTATGCCTATCACGCTTGTTCATAATTTAGACGACCATCTATTTGACGATGAGATGTTTCAATTTTCTTGGATGACTAGAGAACTGCTTGTTCGCTAATCCTTGCACTGGGTTAGCGCATTTCTTTCGAGACAAGGCGATTTTTAAAGTTTTATTTTTATTTTTTATTAACTTATTTATTAAAACTTTTTAGCAAGCCTTCAGTATTCGTAATCTGAACATTTCTGAAACCTGAAGTTTCACGGTTTGAGGTTTCTCTGCGAGATGCGTTCCCAATAATGTCGCATGAACCTGCGGATTTTACCCTATGCTCGCCAAGAACGGCATGTTTTTATGGCAAAACGGCAATGAAATGGATTCCTGAATTTCTTCCCAATTTTTGAGAAGAATTAGCAGCGGATTAATTTTAAACCCAAGGGGCCCTTAATTTGTATAAACATTCGCGGCCCTTAATTCGGACCTGATTCGCTTTCATTCTCTCGCTCCCTCTCCCTCTCTCCCTCTCTCTCCCATTCACTCTCTCTCTCTCTCTCTCTCTCTCTCTCTCTCTCTCTCTCTCGCTCTCTCTCTCTCTCCCTCTCTCTCCCTCTCTCTCCCATTCACTCTCTCTCTCTCTCTCTCTCTCTCTCTCTCTCTCTTTCTATCTCTCTCTCTCTCTCTTTCTATCTCTCTCGCTCTCTCTCTATCCCTCTCTCTGTCACTCTCTCTCTCCGTCTCTCTCTCTCTCCCATGGGGAAACTCTCTACTTGCGAATGTAGAGATACCGTGCTGAACCTAAGGACGATTACCGTACCCGGATTGTCGTGCTAATTTGAAAGGTTTTTAAAGGCACCCGGAAGTGACACAAATTTTTAATACCTAAAAATTAAAGGATCATAAACCATTGATTTAGAACATTTATTCGTTTACGCGACAAATTTCGAACTAGAAAATCCGTTATCGCCGATCGCCGATAAATATTATCCGGATATGGACAGTGACGGTTGACTTTCTGGTCCCTTTAAACTCTACATACAAGAATGGCCTCTAGAGGAAGTAACTTGTTTATAAATGCATTACGTCACCAATTGCGAGTTGAGTTAATTACCAACCCACCACAACCTCCCGTTTAGCGATGAATTGAAACACACGAATTCGGAAACGTCTCGCTCTCTCGCTCTCTCCCTTTTTCTCACCCTCTCTCTCTCTCTCTCTCTCTCTCTCTCGCTTCCCTCTTGAAAAAGCATTTAAAATGCACCTGGAGACTCGAGTCGCATCCCAAACTCCCCCCACGAAACTAGCGAGTTTGAAAAGTTCACAAATTCGGAGCTTACCCCATTCTTTGAAACTGGCTTTCATCTGTAGAAAGTGTTTCAAAAAATGTACTTTTCATTTGTAGTAGGATATACATTAATCAGCATGGCATTCTGACATGATTTAAATATTTAATGAGTTCTTAGTTAAACTGTTAAATCTTTGGTGTCGATTTGATCGCCTATTACTCAAGCTCAAAAACCTCCCTGTACGACTCCAACGAAACATTTTTCTGTAATTTTTTTGAGAGAAGTTTGAATAAGACGGGTTGAAAACAAGCTTGAATTCATCCAAACAGCCAGTTTGAAAACTTGAGGCAGCTCACCCACGTTCCAATTTTTGTGTTTAAAAAATACCTCCTGCTCGGTAACGTGTAATGAATTATTGGCGATCCACATGAAGCTTCGACGAATATTTGCTTTGCTTGCGTTTGATAAAAAAAATAGAAAATGGGATGATCCTACAAATTTTTCTCACACGGATCATTTCAATCTTCGAAAAATTCTTTTTTGAGAATAAGATGTTTCTGAAAAATTAATTGCTCGCTTAACGTGATTGTCAACTAATATATGGTGAATTTAAACGGTCATTTCCCGAAGCAGAATGGCACACTTCCTCGATTTCATCAGGTTAATTTCAGAAAGTGTGTCCTATAAAGCGCACGCCTCCCGGGTTATCCACGTTTCAGTTTTTACAGGCTTTTCGCGGTTGAAAAATGTGTTTTAGTGAATGCATTGCTTCTGGTAGCTGCACAAACAATCAATTACTTGTTATGTTCTTCGAAAATCAGAATTTTTGATTTTCGACTATTTGTTTACAAAAACTTTTTTTTGTTTTTTTTATGTTAAAAGTTTTATGAGTTATTGAATTTTTTCTTAGGAGATTTTACAGCCACGGTGGAAGGCTACTGACAAGGAAAGAGTTCTTAGAAATGTTAATTTTCCATTTTCACGCAATTTTTAACTCAACTTTTACGCCCCGAACCTAATGGATTCAGATTAAATTGCGTTAAATGTATTAAAACTAGTTTTACGCAAATTGAAAGGTCTGGAATTCGATTTTTTTGTATGCATCATAATCAAAGAAGCCGGCCCCCTATTTGGCTAATTGCTTATTTTATAGCGAGCCATTGAGTTTACCGGTTATCTTTTCAACTCCTATTTTACCGAAACATTTTTTCGAACAAAATTTTTTTGGATTATACGCAAATGGCAGCCTTGTTTTATTTATTTCTACGCATGCCAAGAAAACGGCCCATTGTTAGCTACAATTTATTTTTTGTCACGGAGCCATTAAGTCGGGGGTTTTACCTTTTCGACTCCTATTTTCCCGCAAGCTAACCGTAGCCCCCTTTCCCATTTTTTGTATGTATGTTTTTTGGCTTGAGTGCAGTTTACCCCCCCCAGCCCTAACTTTTCATCCATACGTCCTATTAATGCGCCGAGTATTAATTCGCCGTGGTCGAATTACTATAAAGAAGTTGTTTTCTTACATCAAAAATTGTCAGAAAAATTTTTATAACAATTATAAGTCTGGGTTTTCTTTAGTTAATTTTTGCTGTTCCAAAGTGGGTTTTCGTATCTCGGCTATCTTTTGACGTCCAGAGCTGTCAATAGTACCAAAATTTAGCTCTTGCTCTGGAGAATAAGCCTACAGTACGTTTGAGCCGAAAAAAACAGCGGAAAATAAAAATATTTGAGTTTTAGACTCCTAGTACATCGAAGCATAGCGGCTTAATCTTTTCAACTTTCAAAATCTTGTAAAAATTTTTTTAGCAATTTTTGCCGCCAGAAAACAACTTTTTTATAGTAATTCGACCACGGCGAACATTTTGAGATACTCGGCGCATTAATAGGACGTATGGTTGAAAAGTTAGGGCTGGGGGGTAAACTGCACTCTAACCTGTTTTTTATGTTTCTGCAAACTTCCAACTCCATTTCCATGCTATTTTCCACACTCCTCCACTCAGACACCCGGTTATGGGCTCTCAATTCAATTTAAGCAGCCCTCCCGGAAAGTGAGCCGGTATAGGAAATCATTTTCGGGGTATTTCATTCCATTGCACACCTCCTTCCAGCCTATCCGCAGCTTTTTGCCTTAAAGGGACCGGCAAGGCATAGGTTTAATCTTTAACTATGGATTTTAACAGATGTCCTTTTGTCGCGATTGTGTGGCATACTACGCTAAAAAAATTCATTTACAAAAAGTTTGTTTCATCCATAACGAATATAAACTTTTTGGAATTAAAGACAATGGGCGTGCTCAGCTATAGATTCGATTATTCGCTAAATACGCTATCCGCTAAAAATTGCAATGCTTATCGCCGGTTTGCGGTTCGTAAGGCGAAATTAATTTCGTAAAAATTGTCACTATGTGAACATTTATTTAGTCGAAATTGATTTTGTTGAGACTCATTGTGTGAAAAATTAATTATTTTCGGGGGGTATTTCATTCCATTGCACACCTCCTTCCAGCCTATCCGCAGCTTTTCACTTTAAAGGGGCCGGCAAGGCATAGGTTTAATCTTTAACTATGGATTTTAACAGATGTCGTTTTGTTGCGATTCCGTGGCATACAAGGCTTAAAAAATTCATCTGCAAAAAGTTTGTTTCATCCATAACGAACATAAACTTTTTGGAATTAAAGACAATGGGCGTGCTCAGCTATAGATTCGATTATTCGCTAAATACGCTATCCGCTAAAAATTGCAATGCTTATCGCCGACTTGCCATTCGTAAGGCAAAATTAATTTTGTAAAAATTGTCACTATGTGGACATTTAATTTTTTGTTTTTGTTGAGACTCATTATGTGAAAAATTTATTTTATCAAAGGCTCGGGTTTCAAAATAGAAATTTTGGCCAATGTTTTGCGATAAATAAATCTCGACATCCTAACGTTTGACAAAACGGTAAAATACATTGCCGCTTTAATAGCATCGCGAAAAATACCTGTTGATTTTGAAATCGGTAAAAATATGTTTCGACCCAAATAGTCATGAAATAAAGAAGTTTCACAATGATTCTGGTCTTCTCTGCCACTTATTCTTTCGTTAAAGGTTCCGTATGGGTTACATTTTACCGATGTAGATTTGGACGACTTACTAAAATGATTTTTAAGACTAATAAAAATGCCGGATGAACGAAAAAAGGCGTTTTCGACAACCATCTACCCTTTCGCAAAGAATGCACGATGAAAATTTTGCCAAAAATATATGTTTCAGCCCTGAAACATCAGAAGATCCCAATATTTGCGATAGTCCGGACAATATTTCTTATTTGCGTAATTTACGGGGTGATCGGATCATCTATGAAGTAAAAAACTTATAAAATTAAATTAAATTAAAATCATATATTAAATTCATTAAGCTTGTATTCCCCAAAAATATTTTTGAGCAAAGTAGGAAATTCGCAGAAATGTTTCATCTTTTCCCAAAACCACAAAGCAGTCTAATTCCTCTTAATCAACAGTGGTTTCGTCTCAATGTCCTTCTTAAAAAACATTAAAATTATTTTCAGGATAAATAAAAGCGTCGAATGGACGAAGAGGCCGTTGCTGACGGCGCTTTCGCCGACAATGGCACCTGTATTTATTGGGTACGTTAATTCTTTTTTTGTTTGAGGTGAAGATCCAGAAAGTACAGATGGCAACATTCTTGAAAATGCCACTTGAAATATCTACAAACTGTATAGAAAACTATAGAAAGTGAAAGTGACTTTTAAATCCAAAACTAAAAATTTTATAACATCTCAGAACCAGTTTTCTTGCGAGAAACCGCCCAGGAAAAGTGCTGATTAAATATGCTATAATGTATGTCTATAATTTGAATTTGTATATCTTAAATTCATTAAAATATTCCAAATAGATTCGCTGATAAGTTTCATAAAAGCCGTCTTTTTTAGAAAAAGCTCAAGAGAAAATACTATAGCGTATTTTCGCTTTAATATTACATGGTGATTCTGGAAAGTAAAAGATCGCAGACCTGCCAAAGTTGTGAAACATCTATTTTTGCAGGGCACCGACTACATCGAGGGAAAGATCTGGTTGATTGGAATGTTCGGGACCACAGTCGCCCTAACCTCCATCATTCTCAATTTCTTCCTCTGCATCGTCTATCTGTATACACCGTCACTGGCAAAGTACGCTCCATTAAACACCCATTTACGCCGTGTTTAAAAACCATAGACAGAAGAATCAAAATAATTAGAAATCCTTTCTGAAAGTATGATTCATACAAAAATTCTCTCAAAAAAACGTGTGCAAACTAGATAAAAATTCTACGATTAAAGGAATTAAACATTTAGGAAAACTAGTTGTAAATAAGAAAATTCACGAATTATTTAGGATAAAGGCTAGACAGACCTTTTGGGGTTTGAAGAAGTATGTTTTAGACCGAAAGTTTATAAAAGATTCGTTTTAACTATCAAAATATTACTTCTTGCCCTTTGAAAAAATGCTTCAGACCTAGAGCTTAAAAAAAGCTGTTGGCGCTCCGCATTGAACTGTATATCCACTTTCGAAAAATCCTTAGCTTTAAAAAGTAGGTTTCATATCCGAAATGCCATAAAACCCTAAATGGCTGTAATTTCTAGATCAGCCGTGCTCTATTTTGGAGTGATTGCCGTCGTCGATATCATCATGGGATTTAATTATATCGCTGCGATGAGTGTACCGGTGGGTTTTTGAACGATAAAGAACAGGCAGCCTAGCAGAGATTTTTGGGAGCATTAAAAAAGCTGGCAAACCAGCAGAGACCATTAAGAAAACGAGAAGATTGTAAAGGGCAGGCTAGCGGAAATAATCGAAGAATCGAAAAATACGCAAAAAATTATTTTAGAGGCAAAATGGCAAAATTATGTCAACCAAAACTATCTGGGCCAGCTAGCAGAGAGCATTTAAGAAGAGAAAATTGACTTGGCAGGCTAGCAGAGATCATTTTGGATGGGAAAATCGCTGGCAGGCTAGCAGATATCATTAAGAAATTGAACAAAATCGAGAAAGGCAAGCTAGCAGAGACCATTTGCGGATCGATTAATATACGAAAAAATAATTTTCGAGGCTAAAAAGGTCACATAAAACCCAATGAAAACCATTTGGGCAGACTAGCAGAGAGCATTTAGGAAGAGAAAAGTAGCTTGGCATGCTAGCAGAGATCATTTAAGAAATGAAAAATGGGGGCCGGCTAGCAGAGACCATTGGGGAAGAGCAAAATAGCTGGCATCCTAGCAGAGATCATTTAGGAAATGAAGCTGATCGATACGTTTAGGTATTCATCGATTACTACGGTCTCCTATGGCTGTACCACGTCTTTGTGAGCTGTGTAGTGGCAGTTGTATGCGAATCGAATTGCGCGCTATTCTCCTCATCACTTCTCATCCTGTTGGCTACCACAGAACGATTGCTACGAACATTTCAAGTCAAGACGACAACGCATTTGAGGAGGTATTAGTGCATTTTTGGCGTAGCAAAATCAATGAAAAAAACTAGCGGGGGTAATTTGGCAAAACAGTAAAACATATAGGAAAAAATTTGGGTAACGATAACTAGCAGCGATTTTTTTGGGAAATCAAAAAACGAAGGTTAGTGCCGCTTTAAGTCGACTGTTTCAATTAGTTATAACTAGCAGAAATTATTTGGGCAATTAATGAATGCAAATGAAAAGCAACTAGCAAGCAAACCGGGGCCAGGCAGACAGAGATTATTGAAGAAAAAGTGATGCGAAGCGGCTTTTCAACCCTGATTATTGTGGAAAAAGTGATTCCTTATGCAAAAAATGGAGAAACGACATCATAAATAGAAAAAATTGAATGTTCATTTATCTATTTCAGAGTTACAATTAGCAAAAAGCGGTGGGGAGTAAAACAAAAAGACAATGAGACCCCCCTGCAATTCAAATGTTTCAATTAGTTAGAACTGGCAAAAACTATTTGGGTGACTAATTTGAGCCAAGAATCAACTGGCAAATATCTTTCGGGAATTCAAAGTCCGGTTAGCACAGTTTATTGAGGAAAAGATGATCCTTATCAAAAAACGAAAAAAACAATATATAACATAATAAAAGAAAAATTGAAGCTTTCAATTACCGTATTTCCACTAATATAACCCCGGGGGTTATATTTTTTTCAATAACCCAAGGGTAGAGGGTTGTATTAGAGGAAGGAATATATTTTTCGTGATTTTGAGCAATTACAACGATTTCTAGTAGTTCAAACTGAGCACAACGACTCAGCAACGCAGTACGAAGCCTACACAAAAACGTTTTTGGCATTTTTTACTTTTTAGACGCAACTTGGAAAAATCTTTTTTGGGGGTGGTTATATTAGAGGGGGGGCTATATTAGAGGAAATACGGTATCTATAATTGTCAGAGCGTGTTTGGGAAACAAAAAAAAAATAGTTACGCTGCGCTTAAATCTGAAATTTGGATGTTTCAACTAGCTGCCACCACCAAACAAAAGTTGGGTAATTAATATATATTGACAGGTCCTTCGATAAATGCCAACTAGCAAATATCCTTGGTGGAATAGAACGCTAGGATAGCTTGGATTATTTGGGAGCATGGGTTATGCGCTGTTTTATAAAAATCCACTCAAAATGAGTGTTTCAACTAGCCACAACTAGCAGAAATTTTTTGGGTGGCTAATCACGTTCGATCAACGAGTATGGCTAACTAACCGGGATAATTTCGACAGTTCATATTTTGACAAAAATGTGTAAAATTAGTGTTTCGTGAAGCTGAATTAGCCGAATGTTGTTCGGAAGGGTACTTAAAACAAATTTTACTCAAATTTTCCGAAAACTCTAAAAAGAAAAATAATAATTTCCTCACTAAAGCGCCGTCGCGGAGCCTGAGGAGCAGCAGTTGAGCTTTGGCTCGCGGTGAGCGGATCCCCTAGATGCAAAATGCAAAATTTAAATGTTTTATCTTTCTTTTCCTCTCTCTCTCTCTCTCTCTCTCTCTCTCTCTCTCTCTCTCCTTCTCGCCTTCTTTCGCTCCCAGTACTACCACTCACTGCCATCATACTTGAAAGAACAGGCCAAAAATCCGGGGCGTTGAGAAACGGTGTTTCGATATATCGGTTAGTTACTAAATTTATTCACGAATTAATGCCACACCAAGCTATTTCTAATTTATGATTATTTATTTTTCTAAAGAAATTTCAGCATTTTTATCTGTTAAAATAGCTGATTTTGTAGATAGGAATCAAAATTTTAACTACTGTTTTATATGCTAAACGTAGATTAGTAATTTGACATTTCATGCTAACTACATTCTTGTTTTTGCGAAATTTTGTTACAAATGCATTTCCGAAACACTTATTAATTTTATCGAGTTTTCTGCTGGTGAAAAAAGTAAAATGGGTAAAATACTAAAAGAATCAGGAACTAAAAATAAGAATCGAATCCATAAAAATTTTAAATGTTTCGAAAAATTTGCTACTTTCACGAACTAAATCCCGCACCAATCCATTCCGTGAACCCCCACGGCGGCCAATTTTCTGAATTTTCCATGTTTTAAATTTCTTTAAACACCACACAAAAATTCAATGTACTAACCGGCTACTTCTCTGACTAACCGCTACCCCCAAAATATTCTAATTTTACTGCTTCTCGTGTCGTGGTTTTTGTGAGGGCTGCTAGCCGATAGAGGATGGATTCCGATAGGATGCAAATTACACCTATGAAATCTACCGTATTCCAGATTCGTGGAGAAGAATCGAGTAGGGCTGTGTGCCGGCTGCATCCTCGTCGCCGTCGCCTACAAATTGCCCACGTATTTTGAGCTCGACGTCACCGAGCATTTGCATTGTGGAGTCGAGGAGTTCAGGTGGAGATTTTGGAGCTTTTCCATTATCGGAGGGAGGATCTACTATAACAATTTTCTTAATGTGAATATCGGTATAAATAGAGCGTTTCTATACATCTAGACTCTTAATAAATACAAAACCTTTGCCAATTTTCTGCAAAAAATCCAAAATTATCGTTTTTTGTCGATATTTTTGATTTTCGAAGCAGATTCCGTTTATTAAAAATGTTTAAATTTGCTTAGATAATTTTTCACCTTAAAAGTAACTAATTTTTACAAAAATACTGGTAAATACCTTGTGACTACGTTAGCAGGTATTCCTGAATTTAGGCAGAAAAAAATTCTAGGTCGTCTCAATATGCCAAATGCTGGCAAATCAAGCTGACAAATATCTGAAAAATTTAATTTTACTACCATTTTTACCATTTTAATTGGAGCTATAAACTTCAACTTTAATTTTCTGTATTTCAAAGCTCGATAACTATAGTGAAATCGTCTAAAATTATATGGACAGGCGGGTTCAGGCCTAATAGTTCCTCCAATCGTTAGTGAAAAAGGCAAAAAGTTGAGTCTTACATTTTTAAAGATTGTGTGGGTTTTGAAAGGCTTCTATCGTGATTTATCCAAAACTAAAAAAATTCTTTTAGCGAATTTTGAATGTCAATGACTCAAAAAAATTAGCCAACAAGTAATCAATAAAAATAAAGCTTTTCCTGCGCTATTTTTATTTCCGATTTTAAGAGATTTTTATTGGCATAAAATTTTATAAAGTATTGACTAAACTTCACAAAATCTACTTCATTTTTAGCAGCCGTAATTAAAAAGCATAAATAGAAATTTTAAGGTATAATTTTTCGGTATACGTTTATCAGTAGCTAAAGAAAGGCTCCGACCTTACTGTTTTTTGAAACATTCAATTTTCAGCCGGTTCGAGATCGTGGCCACCCCTCTAGTACGAAACGAGATCTACCGTAAGCTGTTCATGTTCTGGACCCGATTCATCGTGGACCGGATCTCCCCCTTTATCCTCCTCGTCCTCATGAATTTCAAGATCATTACGGTAGCAGCGTCACCTATTAAAAAAATATCATATTTTAGGCCTTAAAACAGCAAACATTCACCCCGAAAAAGACGGTCTTCATGCCGAGCTCATCAACAAAGTGTAGCCGCCGGAATATTCGGGTACGGTAGGACTGCAAAGAAACACGAAAATTCAGCAATTTCAGCGATCCTATTCAGCTATCTAAATGCTAAAAAAAATAAAAAAACTTGTGTTTGAATTTTTGGTTAAAACCGGGGTATTTATGGGTACATTATTTTCTAATCATTAATTATTATTTTCATGTTTCAAAAAAACCTTAAAATTGGGTCCTTCAGTTCGATTAAAAGTTCGTTAGATACCTCAAACTTTAAGCTGCTGCTTTTTATCAGTAGCTACTTCACTGTTTATAAAATCATCATAACCTTCGTTATAAAATTTTATGTTTCATATCATTGCAAACATAAACTTATTAAAACAGCAATAATATGCGTGGTTTTCGTTTTAGATTAAAATCAAATTGAAATATTGCAGTATCAAAGTGTGGCCGCCGGAATATTCGGGTACGGTGGGATTGGAAAGAAACGTAAATTGAAGGGTTTCAAGGAAAATTTAATGTTTTAAAAAATGCTAAAAAGCTTGTCTTGAAATTTTGGTTAATGGGCCCTTTTGCTTGTTTACTTCTGTCACGAAAATAAGATGGTATCACAATTATCTGAAACAAATTAAATTGAAATTTCGTTTTTTTTTAGGTTTTAATGGTTTAAGCCCATCTTAAAAATGTGATATAGTTTCTTTGCACTAATGACATGTTCTTACTTTCTTCTTCTATACCCTCCGAGTGTAAAATTGTTTGTTTCATCACATTCCAAAACTAAGATTATTACCAAGGCACTAATGGGGAACCGCTTTCGACGGCGTATTTTCGTTTTGTATTAAGATCATATTAAAATATTCAAACTCAATCAAATCAAAATCCATAAAATCAAGCTTCCCAGTTGTGAATTTCTGGAAGTTTGTCTAACACGTGTCTAAATCGCATTTCACATTCCAAACCAAGAAAAATTTCTATTTTAAATTCAAAAAGTTTTTAAAGCAGCCGACAAGGCAATTCGTAGTAGGATTAGGCAAATCCTCGTATAAATTCACTATTTAATGTCCAGCGTCGCGAACAAATTAAAAAATTGCAACATTTTTTTGGGTCAGTGTTTCCTGAAAACGATATGCCCATTAACCTAAAAATTTTGGACCTAAAATTCCAGGACGCAACCCGCACCCTAATCATCATGGTCTCCCTCTACATCGTCTCCCAGGCCCCGCAGATGATCATCAGCATCAGCGAGTTCAGCACGCCGAATTTGGACGAGAAATTGAGAGATGATGAAGGCTTGCATCAACTTTATTCGTATGCTAATGATATCTGCAGTATCTGCTCGTTACTCTCCAGGTGAGAAATGATTAAATTAAATTAAATTTTGATAACATTAATATAAAAAGTATTAAATCTTAAATTTTATTCCCTATAATACAAAAAGATTTTACAAATACGGTTAATTAAGATAAAAGACCGAACCGGATCGGATTAAAGACTACAATTTAACGCCTAAAACGTTTCAGACAAGAAACATCATTTTTCAAAAAGTTTGTGATCAATGCAAAGAAGCATTAAAGGTTATTTTAATTTAAAAGGCAACTTTTTGGGTATTATAGTTGCATACAATGAAGATAAAAAATCTTAAAACTTATAATTAAGGTAGCCACACTAAAGAAAATTTCGAAACACGTTTAATGAAAATAAAAAAAGGGTGAAAACAACGGTCTTTTTTATATAATAATCAAAATGAATTTTTGAATTTTTAAGAACATTATAGGCCACGCATTAATGAAATAAAATTTAATCCCGAAAACCTACAAACAAGAAACATAATTTTTTTAGGTTCCACATTGATTAAAACAACAAGCAGTGCTCATAACTGGAAAAGACTTATAATTAAGGTAGCCATATTAAAGAAAATTTAAAATTACGAATGCGTTTACTTAACAAAAAGCGGGCTGAAAACGACGATTGATAAAATGCTTCCAAAATCCACTTATTAACGAAATAAGGGTTACAACAAAAGCTTTCAAGCACGGAACATCATTTGGTCAAAAAAGAAATGTAAAAACTAATTACATTTAATTAATATTAAAAACCTGAAAACTTATAATTAAGGGGTCGTCATAAAGTAATATTATCGATACCTTTAATTAACATAAAGCGTCACTTTTTGAAATCATGAGAGCAATTTTGATTAAAGAAATAAAATTTTACCCCAAAACGTTTCAAGCAAGAAACATCATTTTCGGTCCAATTTTTTTCGAAAAATTCAAAAACTAAAAATCTTCAAAAAAAAACAAAAAATTAACGCGGGAAGATTCGAACCCGGGTTGTTTTCCTGGGAGTAGAGAACTTAACCAATACACCACAAGCCAATGGAGTGCATTGTAGTTGCCTACGCTTCCCGGTGTACCTGGCCAACAATCGACAGATCAACGATGCATCCCGTGCCACTTTCCGTTATTTCTGTGGCTATTGGAGGGCCGAGAAGAAACCGAAGGACTATCGACCTATTAGTGCGCCCACGGCTAGTTTGACCGCGGGGAAAGGTATCTTCAATTTGCCTGTTATAAATAGAGAAAGCGTTTCTAAATTGTATTGCGATTTCAGTCTTTCGATCTTTGGTGCTTTGCCATTATCGGGGGAGGCACGGGAAATATACTTTTTTATTTTCGCTTGATTTTTCGAATATAAGAAAAGGAAGTTTGTTTTTAAAATAGAATATAACGGCTGATTCGAATCAAAAAATATGAAAATTAATAAGCTTGCATTGAATAAGAAGAAATGGATTAGATAGTGCTCCTCCCGGCAATTAGTAAGACACGGCCGGTACAGCCGGTACGGTCCCGATAGAAATAGTGGGTGTTTCTCTGCGTAGCTGCCCACCTACGATGTTTTTCGAAACGGCTGTACCGGGTGTACCGGCTGTATTTTACAAATTGCCCTCCTCACTACCCCCCCACCCCGCCATAAAACGCGGAAAAAATCCGTCAAAAAATATGAGTTTCAGTCAATGTCTGGATGTCCTTCAGGTTTTGAAAATGAATGCATTCTCGAAAAATGACAAATGACATGCAAAGAATAAAAAAATTAATTATTACCCCCCCCGATATATCCGAAAACGATAAAATAAATTCCGCCGAAAAACACGAGTTTCAGCCGATTTTTTAGTGAATTGGCGTTTTTAAAAATTAATACAGCGATGAATGGTGCAATTGAAAAACTATAACATTACTAGAAGCAGTAAATTCAAAGCGTTGATACCTCCGCCCAAACGATAAGAATAATTCCGTCCAAAAATATGAGTTTCAGCCAACTTTTAGCCTTTGAATCCCTAATTTTTTGCACATCTTTTTGAACATAAATAAAGCAATTTTCAGCGCCCAGCAAAAAGACTTCGGGCGGGCCTCGAGGCGTCAAACTGGCCGAAGATCCGCTAAATCCGGATGCGCCGGAAAGTATGGCAAATAAACCGACAGATGTCGAGAATACCGACAGCACTTCGAATTATTCGGCCACATACGAGTATCATCTCAATGAGTATCGCTTATAGGCCCTCAACCCGTAATTTTAAAACATCGATTTTCTCCATTTTTCGAAGCTATCGTTTTCAAAAACTTCGATTTTTGCTTTCACTGATTATACCAATTTTCGGTATTTTTGATATTTTTGTAAAAAAGAAAAATACCGAAATATCGAAAATCACGATATATACGGTATTTTCTTTTCTTTTGGTCGATTTCTTGAGATTTTGCATACGTAATACGGGTCCCGTGTGGAAAACAAGTGCTACTTTTGGAAGAACTTGGAGGAATAAAGTGTATATAATTGATTAGATTCAGAAATTGCACAGAAAAGGCAAAGTACAGACGAACAAACAACTTTAAACTTAAAACCGACAAGTTTAAAAAATAGCTTTTGTAAAATTGAATAAACGATTTCTTTAAAAATTTTTAGTAAAATAATAGAAGTTCTGATGAAACTGACAACGCAGGCATCCCAATTAAAAAAGAAGCGAGCCCAAAGCTTAGCAATTTTTTATGAAACGGTTTTTCCAGTATCATAAAGGGACGGATGGCAATGAAATGTTGCAGCGAAAGTGCTGTAGTTGCGGGCGACAATATGACTAGTGGCCTTTGTACGAACGCCAATTACCGACCTAAATGAGTTTTACACCTCTTTAATATACCATAAAGTGTATGATATAATATTTTGAAAGCTTACGCAAATCAATCATAAATTCTGCTTTCTAAAGTTCTGAGAATTTTCGCGATGGCTGAGAATGTCTGCTGCACAATTAGTTCTCTGGAAAAATTTGTTTCAAATAACCATCAAAAAATGACTTTAAGATTGAGTCACTATAATGGCGATACCATTCTGAGCCCGACGTCCTAAAGAAATCATCGGCCCGAGCGAATGGTAGAAAACTTGATTTTTCATACTTTATGACAATTATCGGGTTTTTGGGAAACACTAAGCAGCCGAGCATTAAAAAACATCTAAAAATGTGAAGCCCTGCAGGATTTATAACATAAAAATTCTACCATATTGCTTCGATTCGAATAATTTTTCAGGCACCGCCGTCTCTTGACGAGTAAATGAAACCTCAATTCTATCGAAAAATGAACAGATTCTTCTGACTTCTAAAAACGGGTCAAAACTAGCAAATTTACATCTCGATCGCTTGGTCTCCCTTCTGTAAACAATCGTAGCAACTCGACAATATCATATTCTGTGTAAACTTCGATAAATTCAATGACAAATCTTTATTAACATTCCACATCTCGGGGGGGGGGGGGCTAGAAAAGCGGGAAAGAGAATATCGCCAATAATTTTTGCTCAGCCAATGGTTATTAAAAAATGTGTTTCAAATAATCATCAATCTCGTTTTTAGAACGGGTTTACTAAACTCGAATCACTTTACGACTGAAATAGTGAACCGGACGCCTCGTAGAAATCGTCGCCGCCGTGGAAAAGGAAGGATGCGGCGGCGCTGGGGAACCCGAGTGATGCGCGGCGCATCCGGTTCAGCAATTTCAAAAACCGAAAAAATATTTTTTTTGGAGAAAAAGATGTTACATTTTTTCTTAAGAATCCAAAATTTTATGATTTTATAATCTTGTATATCTACTCATGTGAGCAAAAATAAAAACCTGACTTAGAAATTTGCGGCTTACTGACTGCAGCGGACCTTAAAAATTCCCTTTCCCCAAAGAACCCCTGCTAGATTGCCCTTTTCCGTTATTTTTTATTTTTATTAATTATGTTATTTTTTTGCTTGAAAAAATCTACTTTAAAGGAGCATGACACCAGAAATACAAGGCCACGAATTGAGCAACGGTTCAGGCGTGGCGGGTGGGGTTTTTGAGCAACATTCAAATTTGTTGAGCACATTTTATGGATCACAAAACTCTGGGGGTACGGTAGGGTACGGTAGGACACTTCGTGGAAGGTACTGTAGATTTTTAGAGTGATAAATAATCGCTTAAAAATCGGCTGCATCGGTTTTTAAAGGGGTCGGAAAGGCGGGGAAATTCGCGTAATTAACATAATTCCGTAATCCACTCAATTTTCATAATTTGCATAATTTTTGTAAATAGACTAGCACGAAAATTGAGCATAATTAACGTAATTAAGCTAATTTGCCCGTTTTTTAGCAAAATTTGCAGAAATTACCCCCGATTTTCCCTTTCCAGCCCGTTTAAAATACCGTAACCAGCCGATTTTCGCGAAAATAAATAGCGAAAATTGAAAAATTAAATTTCTAAAAAGTGTGACAGATCAGTGAGGGTTCTGGGCGAGAGATAGAGAATCAGAGAAAAAGAGACATGGGGCACATCCACGGGGTTACTGTAACCCCTGGGGGCTACCGTAACCCGGCGTACCCATTTTTCGGAGAAAATGGTGGATTTTTAAGGGGATTTTTTCCCATTAAATTAATTTCAAGATTTTTAAAGGGATGGTGACAGTTGCGTTTTGTCGACTTGGCTTAGACGACGAGCTTCTGCTTGGCGAGACGATGGCGTTTCCGCAAGCAGCACACTCCCTGCATACACTGCGCGTATCCCGGCTGGCAGCTGCAGCCGCCCCCTCCGCCGCCGCTGCACAGCTGGATCGCCGCCGGCTGGGCGTACACCTGAAGTATTGAATTTTTACGGGAGTTATCATCGATTTTATGCTATAAATTCAGCACCAAACCTTTTCGCGACCTTGAAATTTTGATGAAACATTCGTTTCAAAAAATTCTGTGTTTTAGAACTTTGAATTCTGAAAAATCTTAAAGGCATTGTTTTGTAACGTATTGTCAATAATAAAACTTCCCACGGATTAAGAAATCTAAATCGACTCCCGGGAAAATTAGCCATTTTTTGATTTTTTGAAACATTTTTTACAAAATTCTGATCGAATTATTTTTGAATTTTTGCGTCTGAAATACGTGGAAACCTTGTTTTTAGTTGTGGGCACTTAGTTCAAGATAATAAGCATTAATCAAGTACGCCGGTTTTGAAACTTGTCGAAACCTTTTTTTTCAAAACATATTGTCTAAATTATTTTGAACCGTGACTTTTGAGAGAATACTAAACTTTCTAAGAATCACCGATGGTTAAAAATGCAAAAAATATCTATTTCCAAACATCAGGAATTGGTCATTCTGTGACCTACATTATACGGCCAACCTTTTATGATCTCACCAGCACAGCATGAAAAAGGAATTCTCCCGAAAGCCATGCCGATCCCGCCCTTTCAAGTCCTTCATGTACATACTTTCAATCCATTAATTTCGTAATAAATTTCGCGGTGTTTGTATTATTTGAAACATGACTTTGCAGAGTTAGGGGCTTCTATTTCCTTTGAACCAGAAAGGAGTCCGAGAAACCGTTTTTTGAAACGTTCCGGGCTGCTAATAAATATTTTGCTCTTTTGGTTTCTCTATACAAGTTAACGAAAGGTTGAATAAACCGACAGCTCACACCCCAGAAAACTATACGAGAACGATCAGAGCCCGTCCTCAACTATTCCGGGAATCATTCCCGAAACGCCTTTTTCATTCCCGGAATCTCCCGGAATCTCCCTGAATTCATTCCCGGAATGATTCCGGGAATCGATTCCCGGAATGCGTTTTCATCTATTCCGGGAATGTTAGGCAAATTCCCGGAATGTAATTCCGGGAATGATTTTGTTGAGGCTGGACCTACCCGACCAAAAGGGTTCCGTTCCGGGAATCTAGGTAAAACACCACCAAAATTCCTGAAATTTTCACAGGAGCTGAAAGGGGGCTTCATTAGCTAGTATACAAAGTTTCAAATTAAGCGGGTAGTTCCCAGCGAAGTTACGGATAATTTTGGAAGTTAAAAAAATTGAATCCTTTATTTACCGGCATGAATGCTATTGGCTACCTCTTCATACAAATACTGGAATTTTTCGCTTTTAACAACTAAATTTTTGAATTCGAGGAATTTTCAAGTGTTTGAATTCCGGGAATGTGCTGAGATTCCCGGAATAGATGAAAACTATTCCGGGAATGATTCCCGGAATTATTCCCGGAATAGGTTCCCGGAATGATTCCCGCAATAGATAAGCCGGGCTCAGAAGCACTCAAAAACTGGAAAGATCTTTCTACCCGATAGTCCACGCCCAAATTACCGTATTCCGCTTATTTTTCACAATCGAGCCGTCCTTCGGGTCAATTTTTAGGATTTTTATCGTTTTCTAAATTAGTTTATGGTCAAAGTAGTCAAAAGACTATTAGAAAGGCGCGCCCCTTTGGGACCAGCGACGCGTCCCCCACCTGGACGACTGCCCTGGGTGATGAGCGCCCTTTCCCCGATTCTGGTGTCTCTGGTTCGTGTGCATTTGACCGAGAAAATCTTTCGCCTTTTACTAAAGATTTCCGTGCACACGAACAATTATGAGTATTCAACAATTTTTGGAGCCCCCTCGCAAGAGCGGGGCAAAATTTGGTTTTGGATTAGCTTAGGTTATTCCCGCGGAGTCATTGACCGTACCTGTTGCTGATTAACGCAAGATGGTTGGCAGGCTGGCTGGCACTGCGGCACGCATTGCATCACTTGTTGTGGCTAAAACGGATCGGGTATAACGGTCTTTTTTGAAAGCCCTATGTGAAATTCGCTAAAAAAATTCCATCTCACTAAATTTAAATTTATTACAGTACCTGGCAGGATTGGCCGCACTGGGGTTGTTGCTGAACGACGACAACTTGTTGGGTGGCACACGATTGGGCGCAAGAGGCCTGGGATATTTGTTTTTTTATCGAACAAGGGATCGTCTACAAAAATCTTTCTTGCTCTCGGATCGTTTGTGAAACCTCCTTTTTTTAAGGATGGTTAGAATTTTCTTTTCCTCTCGCTCTCTCTCTCTCTCTGTCAATCTCGCTCTCTCTCTCCCCCTCTATCTCAGTCTCAGTCTCGCTCTCTCTCTCTCTCATTCATTTATTGCTTTTTAGTTCTCGCTTTTTCACTTCGATTTTTGAAGAATTATTGAATTTCAATTTCGCCTGGCTGGAACCTTTCGGGGAAACATTTTTTGTTA